CAGACTGGCACACCTGAGCATGGACACACTGACACACTGGCACACCTGTGCACTGACTCACTGGCACACCTGAACACTGACAGACTGGCACACCTGAGCGCAGACACACTGGCAGACTGACACACCTGAGCGCAGACACACTGGCAGACTGACACACCTGAGCACTGACAGCCTGGCACACTGACGGACTGGCACACCTGAGCATTGACACACAGACGGACTGGCACACCTGAGCATTGACACACAGACAGACTGGCACATCTGAGCATGGACACTGACAGACTGGCACACCTGAGCGCTGACATATTGGCACACTGATGGACCCAAGCGATGGCAAACTGATGGGCAGGCTGACGCCTGCTCTGTCACAATGTGATATATGGGCACAGCTTCACTGGCACACAGTGGTACAAAGTCTCTTTGAGCCTGGTGCTGTGCCATCTCCAGCCCTGTTTAGCGAGCTGGCTGACGGAGATGACGCCAACAGCGCCAACTGCGCTGTTTTGCAATGCAGAAAGGAGGCTGGGTATCAAGTGGAACCCGCTGCCCTTCTCCTCTATTCTGTATAACTCACCTGTACCCCACCCCCCTCCGCCACCACTGTGAGGAGGGGGCAGAGGCAACACGCTCCAGACCCGGGCCTCTCCGATCCACAGCACCGCAGTGAGGGATTGTGGGAGGACAATCCCGCTGTGCACTAATGGCCGCAGTGGAGCCGGGCTCTGCCGGAGCTGGACTCTGCCGGAGTGACTGGAGAAGAAGACCATGAAGCTCCCCCGTCTCGGAGGGCCACTGTGCCTCCCTGTCACCCTTCCCATCTGCCACCAGGGCTAACAGCACTCTGCTCAGTGTCGCCCCCTGTCTGCAAGCGGACTGCCTGTGCCTTCTCTGATGGCAAAGGGCCAGCTGACCTCCACTGGCAGGTGGGGTGGAGGCTGACCCCCATCAGCCACCTCCCTAACCCCCACTTCTGTCCCCCAGATCGCAACCTCCCCACCCAGGTGTGTGTGAGTTTGTGGGGTGGCTGGATGTGGGGGCTCAACGAGAGCCAGGATCACAGTGTCTGCAGTGTACTGCTCCTTCCTTCCTTCTCCTTTGCCCTCTCAGGCTGTCCAGTTTGGTAGTGGTGACCGACCCCCCCCTCCCAGCTGGAATCTGCATACCGCCCAAACTTATTGTGCCCCCTGCCCCCCAACTCCCCACACACAGGATAAGTTTCCTGGTATCGGATTTCCAGGGCCGAGTGCCCGTCGTCCTGGTGCTGTTCTGGAGACTGGACAGTAGGGGGCAGCAGTGACCATAGCAAGAAGAAGACACAGCCTGGCCGACGGGAAGAGAGGAGAGAGGAGGGGGGTGCAGGGGGGCTCAGAGCCTAGAGCAGAAAGAGAGTGAAGGAGGCAGGACAAGCTACCAGGGCTGTGCCAAAACACTGTCAGAGTGCCAGGAGAGGGCCACAACAGGGATGCCTAATCAGTTCTAGGAGAGTGCTGAAACTGAGCCAGGCAACGCTAGAACAGTTCCCAAGCAGTACCAGAGCAGGTCCAGAACAGTTCTCGAGCCGTGCCAGTACAGGCCCAGTAGCCCTGAGC